AAATATTTATATGACTAAGAGGACTTAATTGGATGTGTGTGTTTTTACATTGGTTATAATATAACACGGGTGCGACCACAAGCAACTAGTGTTTGAAAATTTGTACCAACAAAAAAAATAAAAATAAAAAAAATAGTCAAGACTAAGTATTAGTACTCATGGCTCCAGAATTTTGTTTGAAATAAATGAAGGGGATGACTAAGTATTAGTACTCATGTCTCCAGAATTTTGTCCTTATATATGAATAAGCAAACCGCAGTTGTTGAAAATATTCGGTTTTCTGAATAATGGGAACCTCTCTAGTCTCTATGATGTAAGAAGCTTGCTTTTCTTCCTATTGGCAATATATGGCTTGTAGAATTTGAATATTTTGCCATGTTAATTGGGAAAAAAAGGGAAATGGCGTCACTGTCGCTGCAGTTGAATGCTTTGAAACAGATTAACTTGGACTTCTTTGGAGGAGAATTTGTTAGGTACGGAGGGGCAACATAACCATTACATTCAACTATTGAAAAGTAAAAAAATTTCACCTTGTGGGTACGGACGGTGAATATGGACTCTCTTTGCATGTTTCTGTATACTTAATTCGGTTTTTGGGCTTGCATGTAGATCCAATCGTAAGGGATTGTTTGGTACGGAAATTTTTTTAGAAATTATGAGAAAGTGGAGTGAGGCAGATTTATTTCCAATATTTGGTATAAGAAAACTGAAAATAATTTCAAGAATTTTTTTTTTTCATTATTTCATTTTACACATGATATTTCCAAACGAAAATATCATCTGATAGAAGGTATTTTTATTTTTCTATAATATCCGTAGAATTAATCCAACGTTTCTGGAAAATTTTTGAACCTATCAAACACATTTTCGTAACTTATCTAGGGAAAAAAAAATCTCCACCGTATTCCAAGAAATATTTTTTTTCCGGTAAAAAAAACATCTCATCTACCAAAAGCCTCCTAAAGAACTCAATTGTTGTAATACCTTTTTATTTTTTTAATACTATCACACTGCTAATTTTTCTGTGTACTAATTCAGAATTCGGGACAAGTTCAGTACTAAAACTTTAAACCCTTCTCAGCCAACTGGGTTACCATGAACTGATATTGTTATATTACTTTTTTTTAATATACATTAAGAAATTTAACACGTAACCTATTACGTAATTATTCATACCCTTCACCACACCACTAGACTAACCCAGTACCTTATTGTTGTACTACTTTGAAAGCAGTATAAACCCATTTCCTATCTAGACCACCCAAAGGAGAAAAGAGAAAAACTTGCATCTTCATAAATCATAACAATATCAATTTGAAGGATGCTTTCTTTCCTTTTCAGATTTTTCTCCCGGTCATTTCTTCTGTCGTGTAATTTGAAAAACACCCCATGCTTTTCTTTTCTTTTCCTCTTGCTATTTCAGCATCAGTAGATGTAAAGGCCCACTTAGGGACCCATTCTCTGGCGCAAACAGAGTAGAGGCCTAGGCCCACGCTAAGGACATTGACAAAGAATCCTGTCGTTGTAAATAAAAAATGGTACAGAGAACCTGATTCAATTCCAAAACCTAGCTCAAGCTAAAAGCTAATTCAAAAGCTGGGACCAGTATTTTAAAACCCTGTTTTATCTCGGGGTCGACTCTACTGAGTCGCTGACCCCCTCTTTTGAGGTTTGGGGTTAGATCTTGCATGCATGTTAACCCTCTCTAACTCTCGAAGCCTCTGGTTGAACTCATGACTCCCGGGTTAGAGAGATTACTGTATTTAAAAAAAAATTATACACAAAACGACATCATTTGGTATGTAAAAACAAAAAACAAGACAAAATCTGGTCGCCTATATCTAGAATTAGATTTGGAATTTGAATTTGTCTTCTTCTTCTTCTCTCTTCTCTTCTGATCTTTTCTCTCAGACCTAGACAGTTTCCCTGATCCATCCAATGATCTCGTCTGTCGTGGTGGTGGTTCTCCTGTCCTTTTCGGTCTTCTCTCTCCCTCTCCTCCGCCGAGCTGTTCTTCTCTCCTCACCGTTGATTCATCCTGATGCCTCCTCTCTTCTGCCATTCTCTTTTGGGTAAGGAATCTCATTTCCCATGTTGTTATAGGTGCATGAGAAGGATAAAGAGGCCTGAGTTTGATGATATAACTTTTAATTAACTTCATTGGAATTTGTGTTTTATAATTTAATAGTTTGATTATTTGATTATCTTGTGTAATAATATTGACTTATGGACGTTAGGGGTGTTCATCAATCGATCCAAACCGATTCAAACCGCGAAAACCGAACCGAAAAACCGATAACCGAATAAACCGAAAACCGAAAAACCGAAAACCGAAAAAAAAACCACAAAATTTAATTGGATTGGATCGGTTTTCGGATGGGTTGATGAAAACCGATCCAATCCAAACCGATCCAATATATTAATTCTCCTCTACCTACTTGGTCCTTTCCCCAATCATAGCCCAAAAATTTTTAAACTCAAGACTCATCAACTAAACCCAAGAAAAAACCTAGTCGCGTTTCATCAACAAAATTTCATATGTGTAAAGCTTCATATCTCATTGCAAAAAAAAAAAAAAAACTATAGTATCGTTTACTGATACTTTTGTATTTCAAAAAAATAATTTACAAAGGTAATATATACAAAAGATGTTATTTGCACAATAATCATGAAACTAATTTTAAGATATTCAAAAAATCGAAAACCGATCCAATCCAAACCGAAAAAAATTAGATTGGATCGGATCGGATTTGAAAAAAATCCAAACCGAATGGATGATTAGATGATCAAACCGAAGGGATTGGATCGGATGAGTTTTGCTTCCAAAACCGATCCAATCCAGACCGCGAACACCCTAATGGACGTAATTGATTGAATTATGTTAACTCCATTGGACAATTGATGATTTGATTTTTTTGAATTTTCTATATATGATATATATTTATATTTTTTAAGGTATAAAATTGGGTCAGCGAAATGACCATGTGACCCCTGGTTGAACCCGTGACCGGGTCCATGGCTGGGTCAAGTTTTTAAACATTGGATGAGACTATTCAATGCCTTATAAATCCCATATTAATTGCCTATACAACTAGTGTGGATATATGATTTTTATTTTTAAAACAAAGAGAGAAATGAAAATAAATAATGATTGTAAAAGTTACTTGAATGATATAAGAAACTTGTTATATGAAAGTGACATTATTAATAAATCATATTATCCTCATTTCTAATCGCGAATCCATTTTCATTTTCATTTTTTGTTTTGGCTTTGCTGCGTCCTTAAACAGGTTCCTGTTGCCTTTAGGACCTGTTTGGTGTGATGTATAAGGCCTGATAGTATAAGCTTATACTATACATTATGACATTTTCAGTTGTTTGGTGTGACCATCGTATAGTATAAGCTTATACAGCAGGACTCCTTTATACGTCAAAATGATGTATAACTTAATTCGGCCTAGGAGTGGTAGATTAGGCCTGATAAGAGGTTGATGTATTAATATTGATTAGAAGTACAATTCCCAAGAACTAATATATTATTTCAATATTTATATATTAAAATAAATTTTTTTAATATATTAATTTTTAAAATATTAGAGGATATTATCTTATATAATATCACACCATTTATCCTATAATATGCACCAAACATGCTTTTGTTGAAGTTAACCAGTCGGTGGCGTGCCATAAATTTGCAGGGTGGTTTTGGCCTCTCTTTCTACAGACTACAACGGTTCAGTTGGAAATTAAAACCATCAACCGTATTTGAATGCTTAGTTTACCATAAGGCCTTTTGAAAAACGTAAATGAAAGGAAGACTTAAGAGTATACTTTCTTATCTTCAGTCATTAAGGGGAAAGGGAAGTGAGCTCAGTTTTGTCCCAAAAGTGAAAACAATCTTTATCTATAGGAGACAGTGATAGACACCCATTTAAGAAAAATGGCACCATGAGCTTTGACACACAAAATTAGCTCTCTGGATTCTCAGTTTGGAAAGAAAATTATCAAGTGAAACGCTGGCTTGTTTTAAAAAAATAAATAAATAAATAAAGAGAGAGAACAAATCCTGGACATACAAAAGATATTAGGGGTGTGCGCGGTCTGGATTGGATCGGTTTTGGAAGCAAAATTCATTTGATTCAATCCCTTCGGTTTGATCATATAATTATCCATTCGGTTTTGATTTGTTTTCAAATCCGATCCGATCCAATTCAATTTTTTTCGGATTGGATTGGATCGGTTTTCGGTTTTTTAAAAATCCTAAAATTTATTTCATGATTATTGTGCAAATAACATCTTTTGTATATATTGGCTTTGTAAATTAATTTTTTTCAAATACAAAAGCATTAATAAACTATAATATAGTTTTTTTTTTGTAATGAGATATGAAGCTCTACAAAGATAAAATTTTGTTGATGAGATGTGACTATATTTTTTTTTGGGTTTAGTTAATGGGTTAATGGGTCTTAGGTTTAGAAATTTTTAGGCTGTGATCAGGGAAAGACCCAATAGGTAGAGAGGAATTAATATTTGGATTGGATCGGTTTTCATCAACTCATCCAAAAACCGATCCAATCCAATTAAAATTTGCGGTTTTTAATCGGTTTTCGATTTTTCGGTTCAGTCACCGCGGTTTGAATCGGTTGATGAACCCCTGAAACATATTATATTTGAAACTATTGGGTCATACACAGGCACCAGGGCCTTAATGGCAACTGTTACAGAGTAAGCATATAACCGAAGATTGTAAGAAGGGAATTTGGGACAAGCCTTATTCTGCCTCTGTGCTAATCATAACAAAATGCTAAGAAGAAAAATCTTGAATTAATCACAAATACTATACTGTAACATAATGCTGATTGCTGGTTTTTTTTTTTTTTTTTTTTTTATGTATCAGACACATTTACAATATCAAAAGAAAAGAAAAGAAATTTACAGCACACACCTGTGGTCAGAACTCACGACAAATATCTGACCTAGTTCACATTGGAAATGTCGGCATCTTTTTCTTTGGTTGAAGTTTCCACGTGTTAAGTACAGTGCTACAGAGTTTGTCCAAAAGCCACTGAAAATCTCTGTAGATCTTTGGTATATATATCTGAAGGTTGAAAATGCTGGCTATGGTGCCAATTAGTACTTGTTTCGTCTGTAATGAAACCTGTTTCTGCTTTATTCTCATCACCGTAGATACACTGAGTGGTTTGATTGTGCACTGTGTTTCCCATAAAAAACGGGGTGTTAAGATACTCAGACCATTTAATGTCTTCTTGTTCTGCTTGTAAAGGTAGTACATGAACATCTTTATCAGCCTTTGCACAAGACTCTGCCAACCCCCACGTCAGAGTGCTGCTATCAAGGAAGTTAGTGTTGCTTTGTAATTGGATGCTGTTACTGCTCCCATTGCTTTTGCTTGCATTGTTATTACTGAAGGTACTGTTTTCCCAGTTTTGAACCCCATCAATATCACCAGAGGATATGGAAGGATTGTGAGAATGGAGGCTAATAGTTGGCTTCACATGTGTTGGGAAATTGGAGTTTGACACAGAATGGAGCATAGTGGAATTAGTCATACTTGAGGAATTGAGCTCTGATGTAATCATTTGTGAAGAAGTGGGACTTGGCATGAAGCAAAGTGAGGTATTGGGATTTGCAGTGAGTCCCATGTTAGGTCCATAATTCAAGTGCTGGAAAGAGAAATATCCCACCATATCAGAAGGTTTGCAACTAGTACTGATGGAGTTGTCATGACATGTACCAAACCTATCCATGTTGGTCAAATTCTTGGAGGTAGAAGAAACCTCAAGGGGATATCGTTCCATAGGCATACAAGTTGGAATTGGTTTTGCTGGCTCAACAACACTCACCTCATTGGATTCCACAGAGGCTTTCTGATTGCTTTTTTCAGCTATGGTTGGCTTGTCCTTGTCGTTCTCAACCTCAGAGAGTGGTTGGTGGGTGTTTGGGTCAATGCCTCTTTGCCTGAGCTTCTTCTTGAGGCATGAATTCCATAGATTTTTTATCTCATTGTCAGTTCTTCCCGGTAACTGAGCTGCAATCTGAGACCACCTAATAATAAAGCAGCAAAAGCATATATAAAAACCATGGAACAATAAGAACAACAATCTTGAGTTAATGAAGGTCCTTGTGATCTTAACTGAACTATTAAGTACCTGTTGCCAAGGACTGCATGAAGTTCAATTATGGAATTCTCTTCCTGCTGTGAGAATGCTCCTCTCTTCAAATCAGGCCTTAGGTAATTTATCCACCTCAATCTGCAGCTCTTCCCACACCTCTGCAAACCTGACACATATAACACACGCACAGAGAGAGAGAGAGATTTGAGAGAAAGAATGTTAAAATGACTCTTATCTTGTACTTTTTTTGTGCACTTACTGCAATATCATTAAGTGATGAAACAATATATATAATAGTAGTACCAGCTAATTTTGGAACCGAGCTCCAACATCCATGTCCATGCTTGGTGATGTAATTCAAAAGCTTCTCGTCTTCCTCTGGAGACCAAAGGCCTTTACGAAGCTTCTGCTTATAGCAGCAAGAGTGTCTTCCCATGTGCACTATATTACTACTACTACCTTCACCTTCAGTGTTTTGAGCCTACGTGGATTGCAAGGAACAACAACAAAGGAGCTTTGATGTGATTTTCTAGGGAGAAAGCGTTTGAGCTTAATAAGAGGTTTGGACAAATAAAATGGCAGCTTGATACAGAATCAAATAAATAGTGGTACTCAAAGAGGTGTTCATTGAACAGCATCATTTTGAATTTATATCTGACTTTCCAGAATTGGGTTCTTCTCCTTTCTTCACGGGACATTCCTTAATCGTTTGGGTCCCACCATCTATTTGGACCGTCCTGATGCAATTGTTCTCATCTATCGGATGGATAAGATAGGACCAAAGAAGATCATATATATTCTTTGACTTATACATGAATGTCCTACTTATTTGTGCCTTAATATATTTTTTTTTCAGTTTTTCTTTTGGCTGAAAGAATAAAGTTAAAAGAAAGTGTAACGTTTCTTGATTATTGATTTATTGTTAAAAAAATATGATGTAAAGTATATATAATATGCAAAATAATACTATTGTTTTCTTATTATAGCCATATGACAATTTTTGGTAAGTAATTGCCGCAAAGCTAGCTAGGAAGGTTTTCAATTTTCACCGACCTCGGTGGTTATGTACCATGCTGCTTAGACCATATAGTTTTGATCTCGTGAGTTTGAAAGTTCTATAGTGTGACGAAATGTGTCCATTCCCATATGACTTAGTTAAGAGAGAGAGAGAGAGAGAGCCAAGAACTTTGTATGGAAATTCAAGAAGTGGGTTAGCCTAGGCGAAGCCCCCTCCGAGAATAGTAATATGAAGTACAAAAAAAAAGCACAAGGAAAATTTCTAAGGAAGAAGTTAAGCCTGAGAGTGGCAAGCCAAGCAAACAAAGTATACTGCATTAAATTGAGGATAACATAACCTTCTCTAGGTTCTTTTATTCCCATTGATGATAATAGTTTAAAGTTTTGAAAACTCTATGGACCTTTTCCTTTTCTTGACTAACTTTTATGCCAGATACTTTTTGGTAGAAAACTGACCTCCTCTTCTTTTTGGCTTTTAGGGATGATTTTGAAAAAAAATCATTATCGTTTGGAAAAGTTTCATCATTTGGATACAAATACAAAATTACTTTTGACATGCATCTCAGCTGCTTAAGGTCATATTTCTTCCCATAGAAATTGCTGGCAATTCCACTAACTATCCAATGACTCATCATTTTTGCAATTTGATAATTACGTATCTTTTTAATTAAATGTAGATTTCTTCAATTTCAATATTCTGACTTCATAAAAATTCTGTGTTTCTGTGGAAAGATATTAAAGCCGTCGTATTTTTAGGTTGAGTAATGAGTACTAAAACTTAGGGCTGTGCATGGGTCGGGTCAGGTTTTTGTCCGACTCGACCCAATTTGATTTTTATAGGTCAGTTATTTTGACCCTACCCGCTTTAATTTGATCCAAGTCAGGTCTGACTTGGTTTGGATTTTGTTGAACTATTTCAGAACCGGGTCGGATCTGACCTGACTTGGTTTTGAAAGTGAGTCTGACTTGGTTTCTGAAGTGGGTCAAATCTGACCTGACCCGTTTTTGACTTGGTTTCCTCACAAAATTTCGTCAAAATTTCTACGTTGCAAACGACGAAAATTTCGTCACAAAATTATTTTTTCGTAGAAATATTTTTTGTCGAAAAGCAACGAAATTTTTTCTCTAATGAAAATTTTTAGAAAAATAAATTTTCTATCGAAATTTAGTTTCCGTCAAAAGTTTTAACGAAAATGATTTTAAACGAAAAAAGAATTCTGTCAAAAAATTTGACAGAATATTTTTCGTTCAAAATTTCGATGGGAATGTATTCTGACGAAAATTTCGACGGAAATTGTTTCGAGGGAAATGTTTCATCCGAAACTTTCGACGAAATTTAGATTTTCTAAAGAATTTTGACAGAATATTTTCTGTCAAAAATTTTTACGAATTTTTTTTACAGAAATGTGTTTCGTTGAAAATTTTAATTGAAATATTTTTTTATCAAAAAACTTAACGAAAATATTTAGTTGAAAATTTTCGATGGAAATGTATTTCACTAAAAATTTCGACGAAATTTTTTTTTTTGACAAAAAATTTAACGAAAATTTTTTCGTCGAAAACTTTTGCCAAAATTTGAAATCTGTAAAGAATTTTAATGAAATTTTTTTCCGTCAAATTTTTTTGATGGAAATGTGTTTCGTCGAAATTTTAGAAGGAAATTGTTTTGAGGAAAATGTTTTATTCGAAACTTTCAACGAAATTTAGATTCTCTAAAGAATTTTGATAAAATATTTTTTTCGTCAAAATTTTTTATCGACATATTTTTTGTCAAAAAAAATTTCAAAATTTTTTTACATAAATGTGTTCCGTTGAAAATTTTAATGGAAATATTTTTTATCAAAAAAATTGACGAAAATATTTAGTCAAAAATCTTCGATAGAAATGTGTTTCGCTAAAAATGTCGACGAAATTTTTTTTTTTTTGTCAAAAAATTTAACGAAAATGTTTCCGTCGAAAACTTTCGCCGAAATTTGAAATCTGTAAAGACTTTTGATGAAATTTTTTTCCATCAAAATTTTTTGATGAAAATGTGTTTCGTCGAAATTTTCGATGGAAATTGTTTTGAGGGAAATGTTTCATTCGAAACTTTCAACGAAATTTATATTCTCTAAAGAATTTTGACAAAATATTTTTTCCGTCAAAATTTTTTATCGAAATATTTTTTGTCAAAAAATTGTTCGAAAATTTTTTACAGAAATGTGCTCCGTTGAAAATTTTGATGGAAATATTTTTTATCAAAAAAATTGACGAAAATATTTAGTCAAAAATTTTCGATAGAAATGTGTTTCGCTAAAAATTTCGACGAAATTTTTTTTTTTGTCAAAAAGTTTAACGAAAATGTTTCCGTCGAAAACTTTCGCCAAAATTTGAAATCTGTAAAGAATTTTGATGAAAATTCTTTCCGTCTAAAAATTTCAATGAAAATGAGTTTCGTCAAAAAAATTTATGAATATATTTTTTTGTGAAATATTTTGACAAAATTTAGATTCCGTAAAAGAATTTGACAAAAAAAATATTCCGTCAAATTTTTTTACAAAAATATTTGTAGTCACAAATTTTGATGAAAATATTTTTCGTAAAAATTTTTGACGTAATTGTTTTACGTTAAAACTTTTCTTTTAATGTAATTGTGAATTTTTTTTTATTTTTTTTCACATAATTGGTGTGGGTCAAGTTTTGAGTCAATATTAAAACAAGTCAGGTCTAAAACTGACCCAAATAAAAGTGGGTTAGTATTTAAACCAGTTCAAAAATATAGGTATTTATGAGTCAGGTCAAGGGCTAGGCAAGTGAACCATTTTTTTTGCACACTCCTACTAAAACCTGAGTTAATAACAGAAACAAACAACTCTATGCAAATGCAACAATCACAATAATGTAAATGTCCCTTGCTATGTAGCCTGCTTCTGAAAAATATATTAAAGCAGATAATTTTGGATAATTAATTGATGGGTTTTATTAATCTCCTTTTACATAAGATAGGTATCTTATGTTGTACAGAGAAACTAGGTGGGTCCCACCATTACAAGAAAAAAAGAAAAGAAAAAGTGAAGTGCGGAAATCGAAATGAGAGAAAATGAGATAAACTACATCATGTAAAAGGAGACTAATATTTCCCTTAATTGATAATTATAAAACACAAATGTTTTAAGAGCGAGTTATATTATGTGTTGAACCTTACTTTAAATTACGTGTAAATACATCAAATTTGTTGTGTTACTATGTCACATATTAGTATTATATCAGTAACCACTTATATTGTCACATTCAGATTAACAAAACTACTATTGTCGCCTGCGATTGATCAATACTATTTGACTATTTGGGCTCTTGTTTGTATAGTTTGTTCAAAAATATTCTCTTACTAGGCATTTAGCTTCGCTTAAATAAAAAGAAAAAAATGCCTACTGAATTAGAAGATACACAAAGTCCTAGAAACCATGAGAAAATTTCATTAGGACAAGGTGTTTGTGCCACTTCAAAAATATTACAAAATGGCAGCAAACAATGACTACACATTATTCATCTAGTTGGTAGCTATTGCATAGGCATACAATATAAAATAAGCAAATGATTATGAGACAAAGATTGAAGATAAAATGTTCATCGATTTTGGCTAATAGTACCTTTTTCCCTGTCTAGGGACAAATTTCAAAAGCATAGCAGAGTGATCACAAGGTCCGAAAAGCTCATGAGCTTTCTGACTTTCGTTAGATAAAGTCAATTTTAAATGGTTTTGCTTCAAACCTCTAAGAATAATGACATCAATGGAGGATTCTTCAATATGTAATAATAATGGGTGTGCCTGAGGAAATTAAAGTCAATTCTAATTTTTTAATTCTTATATGTATGAGAGGCAATTCTGTAAACTTAACTTTTCACCCTTTTGAGTTTAGCTACTTTAGGAATCCAAAAATTAATAGAAAAAGAAAATACCCTCAATAGTTAGTTATATGAGAACTAGTTACCCTGGGACATAGTCATCAAGCAGTAAAATAATCAGTTCCTGGGCAATAGCTTTAGTCATTTCAAAACAGGAAAACTTAACAACAGTAAGGGGATCTTTTCACCATTGTGCCCCTTATTAAATAAAAATTTACCATTTTGCCCAGTACTAAAACTATACAGTGTCTCTTTTAACGATTGAGTGAACCATGTAATCAATTATAACATCCAAGTAATCAATTACATCATGATTAATTGATGTAATCGATTACACCACTAATCGATTATATCAGGGAACGAAGCCATATAAGTTTTTTTTCTACGAGACTTTTTGGATCAAACGAGTTTCTATGGTAATATTATATGCTCATAAAATTAGACTTGAGGAGGGGCTTTCTGGTATCACAAGACCTAATGCGGCACTAAATTTAAGATATTTTATTGTTAAACTTCGAAAGACCATAACTTTGG